CTCTCTCTCTCTCTCTCTCTCTCTCTCTCTCTCTCTCTCTCTTCCTTTTTCCCACCCTGTACTCATTCACCATATGCCCAACCAAAATTTCTAGCCTTGTAGAGAATTCATACCTATACTCAGAAGTTGTACCCGGCCCTAGATGAACTAGGAACACTATTTTAGTTTTAAGACTTCTTTATGTTTGTTTATGTATATGTGTGTGTAAATGTATGCCACATGTGTGCAGGAGCACACAAAGGCCAGAAGAGAACATCAGATCTTTTAGAGCTGGAGTTACAGGTTGTTGTGAAGTTGTGAGATGCCCTAGGTGGGCACTGGGAATTGATTTGGGTCCCTGGAAGAGCAACAGGTGCTCTTAATCACTGAGCCATCTCTTCAGCACGCCACACTCCAAACATTTTCTTTGTTTTTTGTTTTGTTTTTGAGACAAGTTCTCACCACATAGCTCTAATAGACCAGACTATCCTGAAACTCACAGAAATCTGCCTCTGCCTCCCTAGTGCTGGGATTAAAGACATGCACCACCACAGATGACTTAGGAACAGGTAAGACATCCCATGTGCACATCAACACTGAGTAACCCAAGACTGAACCTCAAGCACCATTCAGTCTATCCAAAACCCAAGAAGTTGGAGCAACAGCAGAGACCCAAACTCCTACTCAACAAAGGGAGCAGACGCCATACCAAAAGATGGTCTAAATTCCGATGCCCCAGTCCCATCACACAAGCACAAACATGAAAACCAAGACTGTATGTCTTCTTCAAACATTAGTATTCCCATAGTAAACCAACTTAGATGACACACAAGAAAATGAATTCAAAATTATAATTTAAAATATGTTCTGGGGCTGGGTGGTGGTGGTGCACATCTTTAATCCCAGCACTCGGGAGGCACAGGCAGGCGGATCTCTGTGAGTTTGAGACCTTCCTGGTCTCCAGAGCGAGTGCCAGGACAGTCTCCAAAGCCACAGAGAAACCCTATCTTGAAAAGCAAAACAAAACAAAAAAGCCAAAACAAAACAAAAACTGTTCTGGAACTTAATGAGGATATAAATAAATGCCTCAATGGAAATGAATAGAACACAAATGGATGAAATAAAACCATTCAATATATGAAAGTAGAACTTGATAAAGAAAGTGTAGAATTTCTGAAGAACCCTATCCTCCAAAAACAAAGCTTGAAATGAAAATTTCAGGAAGTCAAATTAAAAACTCAGTGGAAGGCCTCACCAACAGAATAGGTCAAATGGAAGATAGTCTCAGGGCTTACATACAGGGTAGAGGAATTGGAACTCTGAGTTAAAGAGAATGGTATGATATATGTGAATGGGGCATGCATGAACTCTGGAATACTATTTTAAAAGGCCAGACCTGTGACTAACAGATATAAAAGAAAGAGAAAAACCTCAGGTCAAAGGCACAGAAAATATGGTCAACAAAATCATAAATGTCCCCAAAGTACAGAAAATCAAATCTACAGAGCCAAAAAAAAAATATTGAAAGCTGCAAGAGAAAAAGACCAAGTCACATATAAAGGCAAAACCATTAGGATAACAGATGATTTTTTTCAATGGAGCCTTTAAGATCCAGATCCAAAAGGGATAGGGCTGATATACTACAAGTTCTGAAAAATTACAGGTGCCATCCCAGGCTACTATACCCAGCAAAACTATCTGTCATGTTGTGGAAACTTATTTTAAGGCATGTGACATTTGTTTATGCTGTGGAGCATTTGTTTAATAATGCAAAGATGTGCTGCATCCTTTTATGTTGCATTTGTTTAACTCTGTGAAGCTGTGATTCTTTGCACCACCACTGCCTGACCTCTATGGCCGTGGTTAGCTTTGCACTCTGATCTTCAGGCAAGTTTTATTTGTTATATCATAACAAAATATCACCACACCTCACAGTGACACACACAGCATGCACTCATGTGTGTTCATGTCCAAACAGTGACACACACAGCATTAAAACCAATGAATGGGACCTTAAGAAACTAAAAAGCTTTTGTGCAGTAAACAACACTATCATTCAAGTGAAGAGGCAGTCTACAGAATGAGAAAAAATCTTTACCAACTATACATCTGACAAAGGGTTATTATCTAGACTGTACGAAAAACTCAACAACAACAAAAAAGCTGAACATCAGGAATACAACCCAAATTAAAAATGGAGCATAGAACTAAACAGGGAGGTCTCAAAAAAGTAAATGAAAATCACACACAAAAAAAACCACATTTAAAAAACATGTTCAGGCTGGGTATTGGTGGTGCATGCCTTTAATCCCAGCACTTGGGAGGTAGAGGCAGGTGGATCTCTGTGAGTTTGAAACCAGCCTGGTCTACAAGAGCTAGTTCCAGGACAGCCTCCAAAGCCACAGAGAAACCCTGTCTCAAAAAAAAACAATAAATAAATAAATAATGTTCAGCAGCATCCTTAGTCTTAAGGAAAAAAGCAAATTGAACTGTTGAGATTTCATTTAACTACAATCAGGATCTTTTTCTCTCCACCCCCACCCCCTTTTTTTTTAAATACAGTTTTTCTCTGTGTAGTCCTGGCTGTTCTGGAGCTCACTTTGTAGACCAGCTGGCTTCAAACTCACAGAGATCCTCTTGTCTCTGCCTCCCAAGTTAAAAGTGTGTACCAACCACCCAGATCCAATTAGATCTTAAAAAAATTAATAAATCATCCTGGTGGTGCACACCTTTAATCCCAGTACTCGGGAGGCAGAGGCAGTTAGATCCCTGTGTATTTGAGGCCAGCCTGGTCTACATATCAAGTTCCAGGCCAGCCAGGACTATAGAGTCAGATCATGTCTGGTAAGAATAGGACAATGAATGCAGTTGAGGGTAGGGGTGTAGTTGGCCCCCATAAACTCACAGGGAGTCACACTATTAGGAGGTGTGGCCTTGTTGAAGTAGACATGGCCTTGTTGGAGGAAGTGTGTCACTATGGGGGCAGGCTTTGAGGTCTCCTGTGTCCCAGGGTAGACACAGACTGCTTCCTATTGTCCTCAGATCAAGTTGTAGAACTCTCAGCTCCTTCTCCAATGCCATGTCTGCCTGCATGCTGTCTTGTTTCCTGCCATGACAAAAATGGGGTAAACCTTTGAACTGTAAGAGAGACTCCATTAAATGTTTTCCTTTATAAGAGTTATAGTTGAGGGGCTGGAGAGATGGCTCAGAGGTTAAGAGCACTGACTGCTCTTCCAGAGGTCCTGAGTTCAATTCCCAGCAACCACATGGTGGCTCTCAACCATCCGTTATGAGACCTGGTGCCTTCTTCTGGTGTGCAGATAAACAAGGAAGAAGAATGTTTTATAAAAAAAAAAAAAAAAAAAACCCAAAAAAAAAAAAAAGAGTTGTAGTTGAAAAACCAAAAACAAGCCAGGTGGTAGTGGCAAACGCCTTTAATCCCAGCACTCGGGAGGCACAGGCAGGCCAATCACTGTGAGTTTGAGGCCAGCCTGGTCTGCAGAGCAAGTTCCAGAACAGCCAAGGCTGTTACATAGAGAAACCCTGTCTCAAAAACAAAAAACAAAAAACAAAAAAAGTGTTGTGGTCACAGTGTCTCCTCATAGCAATAGAAACCCCAAGACAAGCAGAAAGGGGGAACACTTATTCATTGTTGGTGAGGATGTAAAATGGTATAACCACTATGAAAATCATTCTGGGGGGTTCATCAAAAAACTAGAAATAGCAAACGTATGAGCCAGATATACCACTCCTGGGCATCTCTCCAAAGGACTCTTGTGAAATATTTCCTTAATTGTGTAAAGGTGCATTACATTTGTTTATGCTGCATTTGTTTAATGCTGTGATGATGTGTGTTTAAATATATAAAAATGTGTTACGTTTGTTTCACATTGTCTGCCTAAGGCATCTGATTGATCTAATAAACAACCGAATGGCCTATAGCTATGCAGAGGATAGGTGGGGCTGGTGGGCAGAGAGAATAAATAGGAGGAGAAATCTGGGCTTGAGAAGGAGAATGAGAGGAGGAGGAGGAGAAAATGAGCAAGACACCTAGGGCCAGAAGCCAGGCAGCCACCAGACAGACAGACAAGAGAAGCAGTGAAAGTAAGTTATACAGAAAGGAAGGAAGGAAGGCAGACCTGGCTGGGCAGTGGCGGCACACACTAATCTCAACACTCAGAAGACAGAGGCAGGAGGATCTCTGAGTTTCAGGCCAACCTGGTCTATAGAGCGAGTGCCAGGACAGCCAAGGATGTTACACAGACAAACCCTGTCTCGAAAAACAAAACAGCAATAACAAAAACCAACAAGAGAAAGAAAGAAAGGTAAAAAGCTCTGAGACAAAAGGTAGATCTAGAGAAACAGGTTCGTTTAAGTCAAAAGAGCTAGCCAGAAATGAGCCTAAGCTAGGTCCAGCATTCAAAACTAATAATAAGTCTCCATGTCATGAGAGCTGATTGGTGGCATAAAAGAAAAAGCCTGGTACAGACTCTATATCTACCACAGTAATACCTGCTCATCTTCGTTCATTGCTGCTCTGTTCTCATTAGCTAGGTAATGGAAACAGACTACATGCTGATCGGCTGATGAATGGATAATGAAGATGTGGTTCATACATGCAATGAAATATTATTAAGCTGTTAGGAAAATAAAATTATTAAATTTGTAGGCAAATGGATGGAGCTGGTAATAATAACTACTCTGTGTGACACCCAGACCCAGGAAGCTAAGGACACATGTTCTCTCTCAAACATAGATTATAATTTTCAATCTTTAGATGTGTCTTGAGATTGGAGTACCCTTAAAAGTCAGGAACTGGTAAGGGGTATGCAGGGATTTCAGTGGAGGAGAGATATAATGTAAGTGGTATGAGAGGAAAGGGTAATGGGAGAAGAAGGGTTAAGAGGATGGGGACAGTGAGCATGGGAAGGAACTCTAACACTAAAGACCTTTGATAGAGCCACATGGAAACCTACAGTTGCAGAAGCTTCTTAAAATATATACTTATATAAAAAGTATAAATGTGCAGTTCCTTCCACTTTCTTCTTGCACTGAGCACCGAGGCTCCGGCCGCTGGCCTCTCACCACTTTCCTGGTGCCATGGTCCCGAAACAGCAATCCGCGCTCCTGCCCCAGTCCAAGAAACCCAGCAATCCGCGCTCCTGCCCCAGTCCAAGAAACCCAAGTCGGTCCCCGCAGCAAAGCTGGAGGACAAGCCAGCCTCACTCGGCCTGCCGAAGAGAGAAAAGGAACAGCAAGAAGCAATTGAACACATTGATGAAGTACAAAATGAAATAGACAGACTTAATGAACAAGCCAGTGAGGAAATTTTGAAAGTAGAACAAAAATATAACAAACTCCGCCAGCCATTTTTTCAGAAGAGGTCAGAATTGATGGCCAAAATCCCAAATTTTTGGGTAACAATATTTGTCAACCATCCACAAGTGTCTGCCCTGCTTGGGGAGGAAGACAAAGAGGCTCTGCATTACTTGACCAGAGTTGAAGTGACAGAATTTGAAGACATTAAATCAGGTTACAGAATAGATTTTTATTTTGATGAAAATCCTTACTTTGAAAACAAAGTTCTCTCCAAAGAATTTCATCTGAATGAGAGTGGTGACCCATCATCAAAGTCCACGGAGATCAAATGGAAATCTGGAAAGGATTTGACAAAACGCTCAAGTCAAACACAGAATAAGGCCAGCAGGAAGAGGCAGCACGAAGAGCCAGAGAGCTTCTTTACCTGGTTTACTGACCATTCTGATGCAGGTGCAGATGAGTTAGGAGAGGTCATCAAAGAAGATATTTGGCCAAACCCCTTGCAGTACTATTTGGTTCCTGATATGGATGATGAAGAAGGAGAGGCAGAAGATGAGGAGGAGGAGGAGGAGGAGGAGGAGGAGGAGGAGGAGGAGGAGGAGGAGGAGGAGGAGGAGGAGGAGGAGGAGGAGGAGGAGGAGGAGGAGGAGGAGGAGGAGGAGGAGGAGGAGGAGGAGGAGGAGGAGGAGGAGGAGGAGGAGGAGGAGGAGGAGGAGGAGGAGGAGGAGGAGGAGGAGGAGGAGGAGGAGGAGGAGGAGGAGGAGGAGGAGGAGGATGATGAAGGCGAGGATGACTAGCACAGACGACTGATGGATTCCAACCCTCTTTTTTATTTTCTTTTATTTTCAATTTTCTCCAGTCCCTGGGAGAAAGTTGCAGTCATTTCCCTCCCCTTCCCAATCCCTCTTGTGCTCAGTTGCCGTTTTTGAGGTCTCGTCTCAACACCATGGTTCTCAACTTATTTGAGGGGAAATACCTTGAGCAAAATACAACGAGAAAAGAAGAAAAAAAAGTATAAATGAAGTTAGTCTATAACAGGGGAGGGGGTAGGGAGGCAGTGTCTCTTCTATATACCACAGGCATCAAATAAATCCATTTAAGTAGGGGTTAACACTTATTGAGTTGTTGGTCAATTGGGCCCTGTGACTCTCCCAAGTGTTACAGGCTATTGTCAATAGACTTGGTTGCTCTCCAGAACTTGCTATAGTAAGACCCTGTTGCTGAAGATATAACATACTTTAATCATAGAACATGGAGAAATGAAGATAGTACCAACCTGGAAGCTTCATCTCTACTCACTTTCATGGTGCTGGAAAGAACTGTGCACACTATTGGTAGAGAGAAGTAATTGTAGGCAGAGTTTTTCCTGTCTTGACCACTTGTTGCCAAATACCCAGTAGCAGCTTCCCAAATAATTGACTCAGAGGCTTAATGTTAATTACAAATGTTTAGCCAATAGCTCAGGCTTATTACTAACTAGCTCTTACAACTTAAATTAACCCATTTCTATTAATCTACATTCTGCCATATGACTAGTGGCTTTACCTATCCTTCAGCATGTCCTGTTCCCTCTGTGGCTCCTTTCTCTTCACCTTCTTGCCTGGCTACTGGCCTGTCAGCTTTTTATTAACCAATGAGAGTAATATATATTCATGGTGTACAGAAGGATTATTCCACAGAAAGTAACCACTTGTCTTATAAAGCTATGAAACTGGTGAGCTACAATGACTGGCCTGGCAAGATAAGCCCATTGTTGCAATAATGGCCCAATTGTTATAGGAGTAACTAACCACCTTATGATTGGATTTAAGGTCTACTCCACAAGACAGTACTACTGCCATGTATTGTTAACTGAGGCAAGAACTCGTGACTGGGTAAGTCATAGGCAGTAGAGGAAAGTCTATCATCATTACTCTGCTAAAGGGACATACAGTTGTAAGACCCCCGGAAAGCTCAGGCCTCCGGGGTCTCAGCCCAGGACAGCGGTCACCCCAATCACCAGGTGGATTCGAAAGCTTGATGCAAACTGCATGAGGCTTTATTGTTGTTTAACAAGCTAACCCCATGTTAGCTTGGGTCTTTCACCCACCCGCCATGGCAGATGGCTAGCAAAGACAGCTTGAACCTGCTGCATAGATATCTTGTAGGGCAGTGGAAGGGGAATGTCTAGGGGTACGCACAGGCTCAGGATTGGTGTGCCTCCAGGCTTGGAGGGCCTGCCCTGTGTTGATTGGTCAACTGGTTGTTATGGCCCATAGGCCCTCCCAGGGTGGTTGCTATGCTCTGCGTGTCATTGCTGTGCTCTTGTCCGTAAAGCACACCCAGAGCTGTAAAGCATAGCATTAGCAGCTAACTTCTGATTGGTTCCTTGCCACCAGGCAGGCATCTGACTTTCTAGTGTCTAGGACAAGGTCATAGAAGCACGTGTTCGGCTGTTATGGCTGCCGAAAGGGGCAGGCATCTGACCTTAGTGACTAAGACAAGGTCAGACAAGCATGTGTTTGGTTGTTATGGCTGCCAAAATGGGGAGCTAGTCCCTTCACAGTGCCACCTAAGAACTTACCTTTATATCCATGGTGTGTCTCTCAAACCCCATCCAGAGAAGATTCTCTTTGTAGTAGAGGGTGACCAAGACAGAGACTGCATGTTGACCAGTCTCTGGTCAACATGCAGAGAATAAAAGATGCTAGAGTGCTCAGCTCCAAAAGGTGTATCTATAACACACACACACACTCACACACACACCATACACACACACACACACACACACACACACACACACAGAGACACATATACACACACACACACCCCACTCAGGTCATTGTGGGAGAGGGGCAGTAAGAAAAGATTGTAATAGCTGGAGGCAATGGATGACTACAGCAAAACTATTTTCTGGGCATGAGCTCAGAGCAGCTGTACCGACATGCACAAGGTCTACACAAGAACAAGCCAGCTAAAATGCCAGCATGGGTGGGAGGGATCACGAAGTCAAATCCTTATCTGAGGCACTACTGACAACTGATGGATATTGGGGAGTTTTCCTTCATGGATGCAGCCCCTGAGAAGTTACCTATGCTCTGTAGCCTCTTAGGCTGTGTATTCAAAGCTAGCCTAGTCTACATAGGGAGTTCCAGGCCAGCCCTAAAAAAATAAAAAAGAAAGAAAAAAAAAAAGACAAGAAAGAAAAAGTCTTGAAACATTTTTTCTTCATTCCACAATTCTTGACAAAATAAACCACTTGCCATGTGTAGATAAGGAGTGGGGGCCCTCCATCCCATCCATGCACACACTGGCAACAGTAAGTGGACTCAGAGGGCTTAAAAACAGAACACATGAATTTAAGAGAGAAAAATTATGTGATAGGGGAAGACCTGGAGGGGAGAGAATATGGGAGTAGATTCCATCAAAATGCATTACATGCATGCAGGGTCTTAACCCAACCATGGAAGGCTGAGCTAGACCTGAGGAAGGATAAGTGCTGCTCACCCATTCCCTAGCCTCCCAGGATCCCGGAGATAATCAGACTCAGCAGGGAGTCTAGTCAAGCAGGAACTCATTTATTGTCCCACAGCAAGCATCTTTTAAAACAAAAAAACCACACAGCAGGAAAACAGCTAATCAATGGTTTGAAAGGTCAGCCTATCACATGCCTAGGCGCCCTACAGTTTCTCTAGTGAACATGAGCTGTTCATGCAGTGACCTCATCTGGTTCGATCTAGACAACTAATCATATTTTTTTGTAAACAACTCAGGACTCACGCATCTGACTTCTCCTCAGTGCCATCTTTGACTGGCTCGTGTGCCCTACAGATTCCCCCCTTTTAGACTATGGCCCATCCATTTAGAAGTACGGGCCTCTTGGCACCTCCACAGAGGTTCACCTTATAGCAGCTTTCGTCAAGGTTCACTCAAAAGGGAAATATCCTCAGGGCTGAGCCTATCACAATGTACTTGACGGGTCATCAGTTGGGTCTCTTGAGTTTTTGTTCTGATTAGCCTGACCAGCCTATTGCAAAGGCAAGGCCCAAAGACACAAATTAAGGTTATATTAGACCCCCGGAAAACTCAGGCCTCCGGGGTCTCAGCCCACGACCATTGTCACCCCAATCACCAGGCGGATTCGAAAGCTTGCTGCAAACTGCATGAGGCTTTATTGTTGTTTAACAAGCTAACCCCATGTTAGCTCGGGTCTTTCACCCACCCACCATGGCGGATGGCTCGAAAAAGACAACTCGAACCAGCTGCAGAGAGATTTTGTAGGGCAGCGGAAGGGGAGTGTCTAGGGGGTATTCACAGGCTCAGGATTGGTGTGCCTCCAGGCTTGGGGGCCTTGCCCTGTGTTGATTGGCCAATTGGTTATTATGGCCCATAAGCCCTCCCAGGTTGGTTGCTATGCTCTGTGCGTCTTTGCTGTGCACTTGTCCATAAAGCACACCCAGAGCCGTAAAGCATAGCGCCACCAGCTAACTTCTGATTGGTTCCTTGCCACAAGGCAGGCATCTAACCTCTTAGTGACCAAAGCAAGGTCATGGCGAACATGTGTTACTATCATGGCTGCTGAAATGGGGAGCTGGTCCCTTCAGTTATTACTATAAAGGAACCCAACAGGGTGGAGATTGCCTTATCTAGGAGTCCGTTCCTATTTTCCTCACACCTCCATTGTGCACAGTAGAAGGTGTCCACTCCACCACATTTGGATATGTCCGTTGCTGTTAAATTTCTCCCTGGGCATACGTAAAAGTCAGTGTCCCTTAAAGCTGCCCTATTGGGAACATATGAGCAGCCTGGGGATTGGGGGTCTGATACATGGGTGAGGTAGCACCCCCACAACTCTTCACATTTAGACTGGCCTTGACCTCAGGCCAGGTCGCAGAGGTCAAGAAGAGCATGGACCATCTGGTCTGGGGGACTGCCTCATTTGCTGTGTTGTTGAGGACATCTCCATTGGCAGCACCCATCACCATCCATAGCATCTTTTGCAGACGACGAGGTTTCTGCTGGGTGGTCACTGGAGTAGTCAGCATCAGCAGTGGGAGCATCAGAACAGTCAGGAAGCAGGACATCATCTGTAATTTTTAAAGAACACCACAAGAGCTTCTCAAGGGTCCGGCGCCCATGGACATGGTTAGGTATCATTGCAATGGCCCTCTTATTTCAGGAGACGAGCCTTGACCACCATTGTCATTTCCTTTCCTTTTGGTCAGCCTGTTCTTGGTCATCCTCCTGCATTGTGAGAGCAGGCAGGAATTTTAGATTTCTGGCCGGAAGCCAGATGGGCACTTCCTTCCCTATGGAGAAGACACATCCAAATCTTCTTCCCACTGTAATTAATGGGTCCGGGCCCCTCCATTGGGATGTTAGAGGGTCCTTCCATTTGACCTTAACTTGGGGTTTGGTGATTAGGTGGCCCCAATGTTTTTGGAACTTAGATTCCATTGCTCCCTTAGAAAAAATTAAAATATTAATATAAAGCCATTCCTAGTTGTAAATGGAGGCTGATTCCCCTTTTTGTTTTAAAAGTTGTTCTTTAAGACATTGATGGTTTCTTTCTACAATTGCTAGTACCTGAGTGTTGTAAGGGATTCCTAGTATGTTTGATGTGCCGTCTATTGAAAAATTCTGCCATGGAATTACTGGCAAAGCAAGGGCCATTATCAATCTTAACCTGTGTGGGTAATCTTAG